ATAGCACAGTTAGCTGTTTTTACAGACAGTGATTTCTGGAAGGGTTCCGGAGCTTATGCATGGATTTCATTGCAGAGTCATGCCTGTTTTTAAATTGGTGTTGCGTGGGGGTCGGAAGATCACAGGCATCCAATATTGACTTTCAGGGTCTCCCTTGTGGAAAGAGTTTGCTCAAGATTGACTTTTGATTTATGTACTGTAGATAAGATATTGAAAATCTTCTCAATTTTTCACTGAGGAACTCTGAAATTGTTCAATTTGTAGACGGGTCATTGATGTGAATGGCAATTTCACTGTCTTACCAGATAAAATGAAGCTTATCAGTAAGTTCAGTAAGGAAGATCTGTAGTCACACATCAGTCTGCTTTGCACATGTTTGGTGGCTAATCTAGGCTTTGCATCACTTTCACTTTCCCACACTTGCTCACATCACAGGTCTAGTCCAATCATCTTTCTGCCTGCCTTCTTCAGGCCAACCAGCCTCCACTTGGCATGCTTTAAATTTCACTGCTCATCTGTCACTCTCCCTTGCAGACGCCTCCCTGCAACCCTCCTCCTCTCTCATATTACTCACGCTCCATCCAAATCTCCATCTTCATCGCCATCACTAGCGTCTAGACTGTGGGAAGTACTTCCCTAATTCTTATCACCGCTGGGATTCAATTTTGCTGTAATGGCCCATCTGAATCTAATCACCAAATAGCTTACTTAATTTCTGTATATCAATAAATCATGTTCAGTTGCTTCTAATGATCTCTGCTTATTGAAATGTTAGTTAATATTGTCCTCATTTAAAATTCTGCAAATGGTTCAAAATTTATGTTTTACATGGACGTGTTAAAAAAATACTTTATTTTTTAAAAACTTTGTGCCAAATACTTGGACCTGTGTGAAAAATTCAGCCTTTGTCTCGTCAGTTCATTTTGTCCAGTCTCTTATTGTCAACTTGTGAACTCTGACTTTAACTGAGACCAGACAGGCCGGGATTTCTTTAGATGTTGTTCTGGCTTCTTTTGTGAGCTCCTGCATGAGTTGTTGATGTCTTCTTGGAGTAATTTTGGCAAGTTGACCCCTAATTGAAAGATTCCCCACTGTTTTCTTCATTTGTGTATGATGACTCTCACTGTGGTTCACTGCAGTCCCAAAGCCTAAGAAATGGCTTTGTAACCATTTCCAGACTGATAGATGTCAATGGCTTTAAGTGATTTCTTGATTTAACAGGTCTGACAGCAATCAGTAACCACATTATTTTCAAATATTGAAAACACAATGACAAGAAGTCAACAGACTGGAGGTGTTTATTTCCATCAAGCACAATAGTTTTTTCTGGATCAGTGTCATTCAAACTTTTCCAGGAAATAGTTTTTGCAAAAGCTTAAAAAAATAGAAAAAAACAAAATAAATGGTTGGAAACTGTTTCACAGAAAGCACGAGAACAGCAGCTCACAATAATAATGTAAATGAAGATAAAAGATATAAGACACGAAATATAATTCAAGTATATATCTGGCATGTAACTGGTGACCTGTTGAGGGCCCTCCCCCTCCGTCTACCCCCACCAAAATTTAATTGATTAAGCAGGTAAAGCAATTAGAAGGATAGGTTTTCCATGTTATATTATTCAACACTTCTCTTTAAGTTTGAAAAGTATCATTTCACTATCTTTACCCTGTACTTAGATTGTTTTGTACGCTGAACCTTAATGTAAACCGAATACAAACTGTCCAGTTAAGTTATTTCTTTGAGGTATAGTGCACCATTTATCAAACCAACACTTCAGATCAGGAGCGCCACCTTTTACCTCCGTCCTGTCACAGACTTCTCCATCAGGATTTTCCTCATACCAGTTGTCTGGTTCTTTGTTGTTCCAGTAAATCACCCTAAGAAATAAAAACAAACAACCAATAATTGCTTCAGTAAAAACTGGTATTTTTAATTCCGGGAATAAAAAACTATTTTAATAACAGTGAAACTTATTTATCAGTGATGAGCTGTTCACCCACAACCATGCACCCTATTTTGTAGTTAAGTGTTCTTTTCTAAACACTAATATAGACTTAAGTGTCACCTCAGCTGGTACAGTCCAACTTTTATTATGCACAAGTATTGGTTAGCATTGCTGCCTCACAGCAATTTCAATTCCACCATCAGTACTAATGTACAGTAGTTTACAATTTCACAGATAGTGACAGAAGTTCATGTTGCAGATAGAGACCATTGTGCATTAATGCATTCATCAGAACAAATGAAAAACCCATAGTGGTAGTATATCACTTGTATCCAGATCAGTAGATGTTTAAAGCGTGGAGACTGATTCATGCTGTTTTTATAATATACTGCAGGGGTGCAGGGGAAGGTAGGACCGAGTCCCCAGGAGGGGCAATTGCAAGCCTTCAATGAAAAGGTGTTTTTGTTTTATTGCATTTTTGTTTTCAATTTCTTGTAATATGTGTCATAATTGAGACAAATGATGCAAAATGGTTATGTCCACCTGCACTTGGACTCAGTCACCTGCATCACCAGTCAACTGCATTAGCAACTTTCTGTCAAAAGAAATGTGCGCAGACACAATATACAGGTTAAGAATGATTTAGCTATAAGCAGAGTCAGTGGCACAATCAAAATAACTCAGCACAGCTTAACACCATCAAATCCTTTAATTTCAAAAAGAGCCAGAGAGAGTGAAGCAGCAGCAGGTCTGTCTCCAAATGTGACTCAAACTGAGATCATGTAGCAGCAACCAAACGTTGTTCCAAGCGATCCCTCATTCACCTGTAAGCTTATCAACAATAACACCAAATGACATTAAGCTTTATTGTATGTTGGTCCAGTGGTTCTTAACGGGTGTGCCATGAGGTAAACAAGACATTTTGAGGAAGTAGGTGTTCTTCAGGGAGATGAAACAGCATTTTAAAATGCCACAATGACAGTGGCTGTTAAATAAAAAAAAGAAAAATGTAGGGAGTCACATATATTGTCTATAACAATTTTTGTTGCTAGTTTTAATTAAACGTGAGCTGCAAACCAACACTCTTGCCAATGTTTTCATGTCTTGTGTGTGTGTGAATTGTCCTGTGTATTGACTTTCATGTATCTTTCATGTCAGATGTGATTTTGTATTTTATGAGCGTGAAATCGTCTCTTCACAGACTTCCTGTGCCTGCAATAAAGTGCTGAAGTCAGAAGATGGCCAGTGCATTTGTGAGCTGACAGCACATATAAATTCTGTTTCTTTGGTAATTTAAAGCAGATCAGAAATGTTATTGATTTTAAATAAAGTTTATGAATAAAAGTGTTTAAACTCACAGAAGTAGAACGTCAAAAAGACAGCAGTTGCCAGGAGAACACAGACAACCACCACCGCCCCTATTTTTGTGGTGACCATTGACCCTCTGTTTACTTGTTCATGTTGAGGTTCAAAAACTTCGTCTGTTGAATATTTAGAGGAGACAAAAGGTGGAATAATTAAATAACACAAAATGTGTAGCTGTGTATGGGTAAAAGGACACTGTAATATTTATTAGTAATGATCTGGTATTTATGAGTTATAGCAGTTACAGGTTGCAGGACCACAGCTGCAACGACCAGCAGGAAACACTGACATGCTAAATAAGGGATAACGACATGTTGAATACATCACAATCCCCAGTCGTTCCTCTTTTTATCATTTTCTAAGTCCCTTTAAACTTACAATTAAATGTCTGTCTTGGCATTTTCTCCTATCAATAAAACTCAACAAAGTCTGAATGCTTATATTTTGCAAATGTGCAAAGTAAATATCATCATCTATAAACTTGCAGCATGATGATAGATTTTAAGATATGTGCAGATGATCCTGTTTTTATTCCAGAATAAACATATTATGTTCAAATAGCTTTTATACAGAACAAAAGA